AACAAGCAAAATGCTTTTCAGCAACAGTGATAAGACGGCATTTGAGACCTTTTTTGCTGCATAGCCTCTTTTGATTTTGAAGGGTTAAGAAGCCAAAAACGTTTATAAAATACCGTTTTGTGCTCATGCTGTAGTTTCATCGATGGCGCCGCAGAAGCCGGAGCGATAAAAGCAGTGATCAACCGTCAAATGTCCTTACAGACACGATGTGAAAAAGAGGCAACAAAAAAAATTGATTCAAAAGGTGAATACCATGAAGAAAGCCAAATGCTTTTTCAAAAATACCGTTAAAAAAGGAGCAACTAAATGTACGAAAGGCCGCGTTCTGCAAATAAAAAATCTTAGTCTAGTAAAATATCACTCTTCATGTACTGTTGAATTTTTTCGCATGACATTATTTTTTGCAAAGCTTAATTATTCCAGTAAGCACAGTTTAAGGTTTCTGAAAGTTTCTTCAGCAACTTTTCAGTCGATACTCACTGAATCCTATACCGCTTTACTGCTCTGATTATCCGAATTAAATAAAATTCGCCTGTTTCATTTTTGGTTTTTACTAATGTGGTATATTCACGTAGCGAAGTAACTTTGGGTTATTCCATGCCCGTTCAAAAACTTTCTTCAATTAACATCTTAGAATTTTTTCGTGTTTTGTTGGTTGCTAAAGACTAGGCCAGCCTACAGAATGTAAAGAGGGAATCTGGAAAAGTAAATTCCCTGCCAAGTTAAACTGCTCAGCACGTTCAACCTTATTTATAATCCACTCCTCAGAGTTCTAGATGTACAAGCAAATATAAGCTCAACTTATCCTTCTTCGACTAACATCATGCGTTGTAATTTTCTGAACGTACCAGGCTATAAAAACTATGGGAAAAGTTATAGCAGTTAGCTGGTTAAAGCAGCAGGTTTGAGATAAAGCCAAAATACGTATTAGAAAAGCAAATCTAACTAAAGAAAGTGAGAGGCATGAAAAATAGGGATAAACGCTACTTCTTACAGCTCTATGGAGTGACAAATTGTTAATATTTCCAATTAGAATGCAACTTTTGTAAGAAATCTTTGACGATTAAAACGTACCAGGATTTTCTAGCCAACTTCCTGGCTTTCGGAATCCACTAAAGACTGTTTCGCCGCTGAAAAATTTGCGCGATTACTTCAGAAATAGTATTTTTTTCAAGTCCCAAAACATTTTTTGAATCAAAACTCCTGAATCTGAAAAGTCGCCACTTCCGATTTGCTATGTATTGGAAAGCAAGAGATTTTATACGGAGCGTTCTTTTTTAAAAATTTAGAAAGTACTTTTTTCCTTTTATATCTATTTGAAAATATGTTTTTATTATACCGATATAATCACTTAGCAGGATTATATAATTTAATACCTGCTGAAAAGAAGAAGCCATAACAAATTTAGGAGCCAAAAATCACCTAATTCTGTTGAGGTTTCACTGAGTTACAAGTCTCTGAAGATAGGTGTATCAAGCAGCAACCTGGTAAATTCCCAACTGTAGAGTGCGCCGGATTACTGTATAAATAGAAAATAACTGTTGGTACACCTTAACTCTGATTGTCTAACTCTTTTTTGCAGTGTTCAATTTGTAACGTTGCGGAAGATGCATTTTTCTAGGTTCTCTCTTAGGCATTGTGTGCGCTGGCCCAGTTTCCACTAACCAGCAAAGACTGAAGGAATCTGAAGATGTCAAGTAAAAAAGTGTGCGAACGCGCGTGGAATGATGTACATCTTCCAGCAACAAAAGCACCAAAACGTGCTGTATATTTAAAGTCTGAACGCAAACAAGTGTTGAATTTGAATTTTTCTTTTAAGAGATGAATTTTCAAGGTACTGAAGAAATGAATCGCTGTTTAAAGTAAAAGTGCCTCAAAGAGTGGTTTTTCTTCCGCTATGTCGTGCACTGGTGACACTGAGTCATCTTTTATTCTAAAAAAAAGTAGAGACTATAGTTGTTCAAAGGAGATCCCGAAACACCGGATTTCCAGAAAGTAAATAAGCGGGATATGCTGGGAACTTGAACGGATGAATAAAGCTGCTAAAAGAAGGAAAGGAAACGTCAAGTTTCATGAGGATTAATGCAAATGCGGAATGATTTGTAAATCTGAACTCAAGAACACATTTCTTCAGTTATAAAGCTTTATGCAAACAAAAAATTGTCGACAAGAAATCAGCACCAATGTAGCAGCGTTTAGTGGCATATTGCCATCTTTTATAACTTCGGTTGTACAGTAAATGATGCACACTTTTTGCGGGAAATATTTTGGTAACAAGACTGAAGAACAAATGGCGCAAAACATTTAAATTTGCCATCAGAAGGGCGGCAATTTAGACTTCAAAGAGTATCTGGGAATCTACGCTTTTGAATTCTACATACTCACTTTAGTTTGCCTTGTGGCCTGTTTTTTATTCATGCAAACTCAGTTTTATTTGCTCTCACTCCGACTTCATACTTATGAAGTACTCTTTCAGGAGAAACAGAGTAGGATTCTGGTGAACCGAATCCTGTTAGAAGATGGACGACGATCTTTACAATGCTATAGAAAATGATAAAATTTCTCCGTTTGAGTATGCTGCTGGGTATGGATTACTAGTTTGGTACAGTTGTTAATTTAGGGGAAGATAATATTTTTAGTAAACTTTATGACACCAACAAATTGTTGTTACTCATTGATGTTTGTACGACGTAACTGTACTGGTCCTTCCAGGGAAGACAGCGAAAACAGTGGAACACTGGTCCTGAACGAGTTAAGCAACGTACGTTGTAAAGTCCCGAAGCGACCGTTGAGAATGGATTCTTGTGATGCCTTAGGTTCGATCTGCATAGTTTTTGTTGATCGCTAGCATTAATGCTAAATTTCTTCATAATTCTCTTTTTGGATTTGAAATTTAATGCCTTCCACACATGTTTTCAGATTGGCATATGCGTGTCCCTTGTACTTATGAGGAAGCTGAAGGTAAGCGCAGGAAAGAAGAACAAGATGAAATAATTCTAAACAGGCTGACACAGAGAATCCTTTTGGTCAACCTTAAATTCTTCTACTCCATTTATATATTATACTTTATTTAGCAAGCTCATTCATGGTTGTTTTTCATCTTTTCAAAGGGCTGGTCACTGAATCATGATTACTAATTAAGAATAATTGAAGGCTAGGAAACAACGTAACTGTGATGTAGAAATAGTAGAAGATCAGAGTGTGGAGAAGCTTGGCAAAGAAGAGATCTCTATTATGAAATTCCCCCCAATTGACGGTACACCGTGGGTTACTGTTAGTTCCCCTGATTGTTCCAGAAGGTTCCTCTATTGCTCCGTTTAGAATTCTCTTTGTATTTGTACCATTATCAGGTGTATGACATAGGTGTTATGTTTTCAGATTTTATTTGCGCTTGCGCAGCTCAATACTAGAACAGCTGCCCAGTTATAATGCACAATGCAAGAAAATCAGTTATAATGGCTCATTAATGGAAAAAGCTCGAGCAATGGTGGAATCTAATAATAATCGAGAACTTCAGTTACGAGTTCCTCTACAAAACGGCTGTGAAACAGGAAGTCATGAAAAACTCTGGGTGGACAAGTATTCACCTCGCTCGTTTGCGGAGCTAGTCAGCGATGATGTTGGTACTTCACTTTGGGTTTTCTGTGAAGCTCTCTAATTTCTTTCCAAGTCTTATTTATTTACAGAAAACGAACAGGATTCTTCTTAACTGGTTTAAGCTTTGGGATGAATGTGTTTTTCATAAGTCAGTTACGGAGGTTTATGATTTGGGTGATGACATCTTAACGTTAGATTGCGGGGATCCTCGACGTCCCAAATATAAAGCAAGTATCATCTTGTCATTTTTCCGGAAGGTTCATTCCGTTTGGCTGTGTTGATGGTTGTGTATTTAGCTTCCTTCGTTCCTTCTATACAAGTTTTCTTCTTCACTTCTGATTACTACTCTGTTTTTGCTCTCAAATTTTTCTTAAAAACAGTTATGTTTGTGGTAGTCAAGCTTCTTGGTTTTCTGATTTTATTAATAAGTAGTGATCTTTGCCTTCTGTTGATTCAGGTTATCCTTCTTTCCGGTCCCGCAGGAATAGGGAAGACAACTTTAGCGACTTTTATTGCTCAACATGCTGGTTATGCTGTTAGTGAAGTTAATGCCAGGTGTAATTTCAAACTATTTTTGTGTGCCGCTGTCTATAGTATAGTAAATTAAAGGAATTTTTTTCAAAGAACACAGACTGAAAGTATTTTGGGTTGTTTGTTCTTAATGGAGGGAAAGATGTGATTTTACGCAGAAGTTTTAACATTACAAGCCCTTGTTGTTTAATTCTAGTGACGACCGTAATGTAGGAGATTTCGAAAAGCGTTTTGAGAGCACTGTAAGAACCGCAAGGACCCTAGATAGAGTAAGCCCAATGTTCTTCTAGTTTCATGGCTGTGATGTATCTTTTTTTTTTTTAAAACCTTTTGAAAACAATTCAATTTTTTTAAATTTATGTTCTTCATCTTTCTAGTAATTTTCCCCATACGAGAGAACGTTTGCCACGCAGCTTGTAAGCCTCAAGCACCATATTAATTGCTAATGGCTCTTTGTAGTTCTGGGTTTGAATGACCCAGCTGTTTACAACTCAACAAATTGAAGTTCACCTTTTTTAGGAGAGTAAACCAATTTGTCTTTTACTTGATGAAATAGATGGTGCTCCTGTAGAATCAGTTCATCTCCTCTGCAAAGTTATCAGCCAAACAGGGAAAAAAAGTGTTCGCCGACCAATCGTTTGTGTTTGCAATAATATGTAACTTTTGAATCTAGTTTCTTTTGCGCAAAGGTTAATTCCTCGTCTTCGCTAATGAGTCTTTGTGCATCTGATGTTTTCACTTTTGGTAGGAGTAATGTGGTTTGAAAAACTGTTTAAGATGACATTCAGTTTTATGTATTTCTACTTCTACATCTTTGAATTTAGCTACACGCCTTCATTACGAGAATTGCGTTCACTTGCACTGGTGCTACAAATGCCTTATGCTAAGGAGGATCGTTTGGTGAAAAGGTTACAAGAAGTAACAGTTATTTTACGTAAGGAAGTATTTTGCCTTTCCGGTCAACAACTTTTGATATTATCTTTTCAGATCGCCCAGCTGGAGGATGTCCTCATTGATAGTAGTGCCTTATTTGTTCTGGTTTCTATATGTGGTTTGGACTTCCGGTCCTGTTTAAACGGCTTACAGTATCTGGCTGCACGTTTCTTATCTGCCGTAATTGACAGTCAAACGGTGATGAAGGTAAAGCAGTAAGTGAACGGTGTTAACAGCTTTTTTCCTCCTCTTATTGAAAGCAATAAGAGTGTCACGTTTAAAAATCTAATTAAGTATGGAGGCATGGATAATCGATACACAGAACGGACATTATTTGATGCCTGGTCATGCGTCCTGGAACAAAAAAATCACCAACGCCGCGGTAAAGTCAATTCCTTCCGAGAAAGGTCTCAACGTGTATTAACCGTCACCGAGCGCCTGTTTAGCGACTCCAGCAGATTTCTCTCAGGACTTTTTGTTAATTATCTGAGTGCAGTTTTGGGAGCTGCTAACGGCATCTCATTTGTAAGGAGTTAATTTTCTTTGCATTTCCTGAAGTTTTTCTTGTAACGTGAGTCATTTGTCGTTCAGGCCAAACAAGCTGCAGACCAGTTTTGTGACTACGATATAATGGTCCGTTTCATGAACAGCTCATCAAATTTCTCGTTCATGAAGTACATGCTTTCAATTATTGTTATAATCCATTTCCTTGTCAGCTCATCAAAGAGAGTTCAGCTTGTATATCCGACAACCGAACAGGTTAGCCCGGAATTTTGACAATGTTTCAAAAGTAACGTTCATCTTGCGAAGTGAGAGGAGAACTAAAAGTAGATGCCCGTCTCTCAGATACGCAAAAGTAATATTCAACTTCAGACATTTGTTCAAAAAAAGAAGCAATCCATCGAAACAGTGCAGTGCTTGAGAAGCAGCGCTGCTTTATCCTTAGCTGACACCCGTATGCTTCTTCTCGACTTTCTTCCTTCGTTCATCATCATTGTCCAACCCCCGCTTAAGCAGGTGACAGTTAATTCCTATCTTCCGTTAAACTCCTTAGAGAAGGACGGGTGAAATTCGCGAAATGTTTCGTCTCACAACTTCAAGGACGCCTCTTTTCCATGAATCCCTAAGTCATTCTCATGTTACAGGCAAACGCGCAACTCTTGAACAGGCGGGAAGTGGAAATGTTTAAAAATATTGTGGCTACAATGTGTTTCTACTCTGTCACTTACAGGCCTGCTGTGGTTGATGGAAGCAGCGTTTACTTGTTCTCACCGTGGGTTTTGTTTCTGTTCTGCATCAAAGACTGTAACTTTCTTTTCTCTCAATTAAAAGACTTTGTAGTCCTATTGATATCATTGCTGTTTTTCCCCCTGATGAAGAAGATGAAAGCTATAATCGATTTGTCCCCTTGTCGAAGACCGCCAGACAATCGATAGCTCACCAGGTGGGTTAGCGTCTATTCTCACTCTCTGCTTCTAGCTGACTCCTCGACAGCACCTCATCGCTTACTTTCAGATAAGTCTTAGTAATCTAGGAGGCAAAACTGGCCCTGCAGAAGTAGCGGTCAAAATGAGTGTCCCGAAAAAAGCTACGCAACACCCTACCAACGGCAAAGAGGTGGTGAGCAACAAAGGAATTCTCTACCGCTATAACCAAGGTTTCTCGAATGCGATCCGGAGAAAAATACGACTACGCAACCTGTTCTTAGGCAACTGAGCAAAGTTCATCAGTCACTAGTTATACAATTGGCCTGCCTTACGCATAGGACTTCTTCCTCCTCTTTCACTTCATTCTGTACTCGATTCGCTAATGTTTGCAGGTACCTTGCAACATACAATCTGTTGTCGGATCTTTTGATTTATTTTGAGTGTTCAATCCCTGCAAGGAATAAGGTGACATGCTCGTTCTTTTGAACCGATTTCTCATTCAGGCGGCTGTTACTGATAGCAGCTTGGCAGCACAGTTACGTCTAGGCAGGTAGTAAAACATTCAGGACGATCACTTCTTAGTGAGATTGGTACTCCCTTCCTCCCTTAAGAGCATGAGAAGAGTGATTCTATATAACACACCACCAGAGAATCGGTAAAGTTGGCTCCTCTTACACAAAGCTTTTTCTTTAATCAGTAGCAACTTTCTTTAGAGAGTTTGTAAAGGAAGCGTTGAGGAGATAAACACCATGCTTCAATACTGAAATGCGATCCCTCTATTTCCAAAAGTTATCCTTTTGAAAGTTTATCAGATCCATCTTGAGCTAATGTTGAGGACAGTAAATTAACGTATGTATTATAAATTCTGCTAAAGCTAAACTGGGTTAGCTCCATCTCGGAAGTCAATTTCTTGGAAGGGCTAAAGCGCAGCTTCCGACCGTGGCTCGGAAGCTAACAACGAATGATTACTGCAGATTTGTTCCCACTGAAAAACCGCAGGAAATTTTGATGAAACTACAAGAGTTATGGTGATTGTTGCAAAAATTAGTGTTCTAAACGAAGTTCCTTTGTACTTTCTTGTTTTAATTAGTCCATAAGAATAACTCATAAACCATTAAGATTAATAATAACTTCTGGTACTTACCGACTCTTTTCCCGTTTCTTTATCTATGTTGAAGTGGAAGAATTTTGTCTCACACCCGTAGGCTTTAGGAGTAAGTTTTATGAGGACATGCAATGGCATTCCAATATAGGGAAGTTCGTCTAATGGCCTCTCTTGAAAATAAGCTAGTATGCAGCGAAGCACCTTAAGAAAGTAAAGTCAGCAGTTATTAATGTGCTAATGAAAGGAAGACAATACACTTTAAGATTGCAATTTAACATCGGAATGCATTCGATTCCAAGTTTTAGGTTTAGACACTTCCCGAACAGGTTCAGAACATTTGAAAATTTACAGCTTGATGGGCGATAACGAGGACATTAGTTTGGCGTTCTAGTTCCATGATTACTGGTTCCAGTCTTGCTACTACATCTTCATAGCTTTCACCTGATGGAAAGCGATAGTGGTACTTGTCTCTTTCCCGTTCAACTGTCTGTACAGGGTACCTAAACTGCAACACCATTTGGTAGAAATCAAGGAATGCATATTATGATGCGATTTGGGGATGTGTAAGCCTGTGTTCTAAAAACCTTAGTTCTTGTCTGGTGATGGATAGGTTACTTTTTAAGCATATAAAAAAATTGCACAGCTCAATTGGCAACGGTCTTAAAATTTCCCCTGAATTTTTTTTATTCCCAGTTTTCTGAAAAGACTTTTATCCTTGTAACCTCTCTTCAATGTTCTCTTGTGTTAGGCCTTCACAGACTCCTGCATCTATCTCATCTAATGACTTCAAGTATTCAATATTAGTGGCCAAGGGCATCAGGCGTTGGGCAGTTTGGGCAGACCGAATCTACAATTAGCTAAAATCCAAAGGAGAATTAACTGGAAGAAGCTCACATAAACCTAGCTAGTTTGTTAAATACTGGTTTGAAAACTGATTAATAATGACTGACTTTCTGGGAAGACCATATGCGGAAATCTGGTACATTCTCCTTTTTAAAAAATTCTACCAAACTAGCAGCATACTTCTGTCCGTTGCTACTCAGTGGTGAGTCACCTCCAATCCGCCCAACCACATTGTACTCGCTCTCACCGTGCTAAAATACTTTTGAGCCTTAGTGACCGTAAAGTGGCATCAGAACTAATCCAGAAAACTCCAAGAGTTACGAATTTTGAAAAAAAGTTCAGCCGACCGAGAAAAAGATCAAACCAAGGGTGAAAAACAAGTCGACAGAACTACTTATAGCAACAATTAACAAAAATTTCACAGGTTTCTAGCCTAGAACTTGAACTTAGGAAATATAAACGACGTTCCTTCTTTTTAAATGAGTCATGATATAGTACTAGGGAGGGAGGGTTCAATTCTCTACAGCGTAAAATCAAAGCTGGTATAGCGAAGTTAAACCGAGGAAGATCACGATCATGATCTACAAGGACTCAAAAGGCTGATGAAAACTGATTTTCAATCGTAAGAAAAAAACGTACTCTCGTTAAGTATATCGATCGTGGCAGCAAATGAATATTCATAAGAAAATAAACAACTCGACTTTGTACATGACCATTTACGTTATTAACATAAAATGAACGACCAGCATTGATAACTTTTATAAAAGAAAGTGAGGCATCGTAAATTTCGTTCAGCGGCTCATACATTTTTCTGAAACTTTGGAATTTCCAAACGAATGCAAAAAAAGCGTGCGGAGACAACTGAAATGCAGCAACAGTCGGGACACCTCCACAAAATCTTAGTGAAACCGAACCCACTTATAGTTATTTATGCGGTTAATGAAATCTTCTCTAGCCTGCTCCACAGTCATTAGTCCTTTATAATCTGGAGAATTAAATTTCACGTCCTAAAACAATGGTACGTCATAAATATTTCTTAGCTACCTAATTTCCACTGGCTTTTACCTATAAAATCCCTACAGCAAAACAGAAAGAGTTTACAGTGATATTACTATCGATGATTTTTTCGTCGTCACAAACACTCTCCACAAAAAACACTCTGTACCGCTTTTCGAGGCAAAATTCCATTATCCATTTCCGCCGCTCTCTGGTTGTGTTTGTGGCATCAAATATCTAAAAGCTACTAAGATACACGGTTTTCAAAAAAATTACATTATGTAATTAAATACTATTTCACTCCCCTCCAATAAGTTAACAAAACACGTTCTATGCCATGCCTTCTTTCCTTTCATCATTTTGCATCTATCAAAAAAAACTTACCGCAACACTTCCCGCGCCAGACTCCAAGTACTTCCCTAAGTCATTCAAAGCACGTCTTGCACTTTCCCTAAATTTACATCACGTTGAACACTGATGTCGTTTTATTGCATTCTCCACAATAGTTCAACAACATCCTATTCAAAAATGAGATTCAAAAATTACCTAGAAAAGGCCGAAAAATTGTGGAAACTCAATACAAACATCAAATTACAACACTGTTACTTGTAACTAGCACCATACATCCTACTTGAAGTCACGAAGGCTACAAAGCTTCTTAAAATCCGCTTATTTTTGAGCCACGTGGTAAACACGCATCCTAAGCAAGGTCTTTTACAGTTAAAGTTCCATTATAAAATACTTTACAACTGACTGTCTAACAATTAAAGCTTGTTGGTTATCTGGAGCAAAAAAACTGGCACTTGCACCATGTGCAGCGTCAGACGCCAAATCACGTCGATAGTCCCCCACGTTGAAAACTATAATGAAGTTGATTAGCACATTAGCAATAATCAAGGTCATGAAGAATTTGTTACTTTTTTGTATACAGTGAAGAAAATGCTAAGTACCCGCAGTGCGAAAACCAATCCATTCTAAGTACCGACATAATTTACGAGAAATATAAGTTTTGCCTCTGGCGGGCAAGCCAACCATGACTATAACATTTGGCAAATGTACAGGATCACGAATTGAACTCTCATTTGTACTCATGGTCATCATGCGTTTCCGTGGATTAGTTGGTAATGGCTTATTACGGTCGTTGAGTATTTTTTCTCCGGTCATCATGTATGATTATCTAAGAAATGCCTAGGATAAACAAAGTTCCCTTTTGTAGCACACAGTTAAAAAGTGGCGACAGTTTGAGCAACATTAGTAATATCTCAAATATTACTAATGAAAATTTTAAACTGGTTGGAAAAATATGATAAAGGTAAAGAATTAACTGGCTTGTGTTGAAAAAAAAAGTTAAGGCATTTGTGAAAGAACATTTTGTCAACATTCAAATTACCAAAATAACTCATGGCAGCAAACACTGATTTCCTAAATGAAAATAGGTTCCCCTAACTCAATTTCAGAATGTTTCATGCGGATCTAAAACAGTAACTGTCTGATTAAGAACGAATGAGTTTCAGAAATTGCTGTGAAACAAATCCCTACGACATATAACGAAGTGACCTAATCAGATATGAAAATAAAGAAACTCTTAGTCTATACATTTTCCATCAATAAATAAGACTGAAACCCAAAAACATTATTTGCGAAACTAATAAAAGCGAGCGCACATCACAGAGCTTAAAAATATTGGCAATAATTACATTACTTTGAATATCTAGCATCAATAATTACAAAAATCCACTTCTCCTTAACACATAAAAGAATTCCAATTTTTCTCTACTTTCCAATCTCAATCTCTCTCTTTGTCTGCAAAAAAAAATTTTTGTGTCGAAGTCCACCATTCCCTGCTGGTAATAACGAGTGCCACGAGCAAGCCAAGTACTTTTTGGGCCTTTGTCAAACAAATCTTCAATTTATTGACAGATATAATAGCCTCAAAAAAACATGCGTTCAATAATGAAGTTTACTGAAAGTCTAAACAAAAAATCAAAGCGGGAGAGTAAAGCAAAGACAGATTTCGACACAAACTAAAATTAAAATTAAGGTGCGACGTGAAGTTAGAGGCAACAGACCAAAACGGAAAATACAAGGCACAATGCTTCATCTAAAAAAAGAAAATTACCAAAAAAAAAAAAATGATAACACTTACAGGATTTCACACCCACCGTGCTAATGCAACCGGCATAAGCCTTATACTGACAAAGTTGACCATTCAGTTGAGAAAACTAAACTTAAATCGAAGACCAAAGTAAAAATATAGAAAGCAACAACTGATCTTTGGAAAACATACTATAAACGATTGAGATCTGCCAAGTCATACCTTCGAATTAAAGAAATCACTAAATAAAATAAAAAAAAAAAACGATGTTGAAAAAATTCCCACTTCTCGCCTAACGGAGCTAAAAAAACCAACAAATTCCCATTTCCACGCTTACGAATCGTCATCGCCTGTCCACTTTTGGATGCAACTGAAGATTAAACATTGTCAGTAAAAGCATTTTTTCAATCTTAAGAAGATTAGAAAAATAAATTCGAAAAAATAATTAAAAATATCCAAGACCAG